CTAGCCTATCCAGAAGGATACCATGGTCAATGGTATCGAAAGCCGCCAAGAGGTCCAGAAGAACCAACAGGGACGCACTCCCCCTGTCTCTCTCCCTGCACAGGTCATCGTACAGGGCGACCAAGGCAGATTCAGTACTGTACCCGGGTCTGAAGCTGGACTGAAATGGGTCCAGATAATGACCTGTGTGTGTCACTCAAACTCTGACTGGGTGTGCACAGCATGACCACCCAGCCACCCCACATTTACACAAAAGCCATGGTATGCTTCTGTGTAAATGTGAACCCAGAGCATTTCCAGCAGCATGACTTGCTGGTGGGCAACAAGCCACTTTGACAAGCAGTGGCTTGTACTAGAAGTTGTTTCACTCATATTGGGATGTCATCTTGTCTGAACACAGGTGCTTAACCCCCTCAAGGAAGTGGTGAACAAGCCCCATGGCAAGAGTGGAAAACTCCCTTTGCTGCTCTTACAAAACTTGCCCAGGCTGCTGCTAGTGTTAGTCACCCCAGTAATGCCCAAGTGGCAGAGTGAAGTGACAGTGGCTGGTTCTGTGCCCACCATGCAATTGTGAGCCTTCTGAATCCACACTTGCAGAAGTGCAAAATAGCAGGCTTCATCAGCCCAATGTCCCATAGACTGTCTGCTGCCAAAGTACAGCAAGAACTTTTCATAGGCAGTGTCCAAAAGAAGCTGTCGAGAGGTTTATTGCTTACTTCAGTTTCTCTTGACAGTTGTCGAAAGGTGAGCTGTCAAGAGAAACCAAAGCTGTGCCTTATCTTTGTTCACAAAAGGGGAGGGCCACCAGATCACTCCTTCATGGAAAAACCTTTTGTGTGAGGGGGCTGGCCATGACTCCTTTCAGGTTCCTCTCACTTTTCCAACCTTTTTCACCATTCTAGATGATGGAAGTTGGGAAAGTACAAGTCATCCCAGTTAGAGGAGCACAGACAATAATTAACACACTACAACAACCGAGCCTCTTGGATGAGATGGGCCAGTATCACATCAAATCATACACAAATTCCATCAGCCTGGAAGAAGACTCTTCTCCTCCCCAACCTTCTGATGCCAGCAGCGACCTTTCTGGCAGGCTGAGCTAAGGGAGCTGATGGGGGGAAGCAGGGCCATTCTATCAGTCCTGCTGAGAAGCACCCTCTTGAAGTCTTCTGCCATCTCAACTATCACCACCATCAGCCATCCCAACAGGCTGCTAAAAGACTACTTCATTTTCCCCTACACATCCTCTTTTCCTTGTGTGTGGTATCTCTGTAGATTGCAACCCCACATGCAAGGATCATCTTGTTTAACTGATACTTTGAAAACCACCCCAGAAGCATCTTTGGATGAGGCACCAGATGAATGTGCTCTAAATAAGCAGTAATCCAAGAATGACGTGTGACTTAGTCTCAGAGCTAAGGCCAAACCTGTGTCTCTTACATCACTTGCTTTGGAAGGAGATTCCAGCCCTAGGGGACAAGAGACTGAACAAAGAGGAGAAAACACCTGCCTTGAGCTCTCCAGGCTTCTTCTCTTCCCGAGATTTGCAGTGGGCGATCTCCTGCAGTTTTCGTTCTAAGGGTTCCAAGCACTTCTGCATCTTTTCCTGCACAGAACAAAAGACAGCATAATTGTGGGGGAGGGAGGGATGAGGGCCTAGCCACCCTGTTGATTCAGTATCCCAATTCTCTACCAAATGCCTGAGAAGCCCACAAGCAGAACCTGCAATTAACTGCCCTTTCCTTAACTGACTGCTCTCCACCAGCTCTTCAATCCACTGCGATTCCAGTTAGCCATCATGATTGATAGCTATTAACTTGTTTGACAAATAGACCAATATTCCGTAATAGAAAAAGCTGCACTGAGAATACACAAACACGATAAACAAGGAATGAGGAATGTGTGCCTTCCAAATGGCTGGGAAGCACCAGTTAAGTACTTTGCCTAATGGGATAGTGTCAGCAGTTCCTGACAGAGCAATCCTTATACACCCTTAAATAGCATAAACCTAAGCCTTGAACAAAATGGGGATTTCACAAATATCGAAGTCTTATGTACTTATGCAGGCTAGTTAATTGTCCCAGCATAATTTTAGATATAGCAATGAGGTTGATTAGTTTATCAATAAAATACCATTCCCATTGGTAAAAAATTTGTCAACTATCTCATGAGCTACACATTGTTTTTAAAACCGAAGGAAGTGGTAGCTTCTTCCTTAGAATCACACAATCTGATTAATACATTGCTGTTCTCTTATGTTATATGTTGTTTTCATGCCTTAACTGTAATCATTAAACATGAGAGTAAAGCCACCACTGCAGTTTTCAAAAAACATGTTTTTTAGAAAAAATCTTAATGGTGCCAGAACTACATCCAATGGTTCGGTTGACCTGAAGAACTTGTAAACTGACACCTGGATTTCTAGGTTATCCAGGAAGGAAGGAAGGACGGACGGAAGGACGGAAGGAAGGAAGACATCAAGACAGTGCAGAATCACCCTTTAATAAGATTACATCTTCCCTGGTTTCATATACCTGAAACAAACGTTGCCTTAAGTTTTTTGCCTCAAGTCTTTTCCAATTTCACGTGCTTTCTTTCCATGATGCAAATTACAACTTTGCTACCAAGGTCTCTGCAAGGGACAAAATCCCTTCCCTGTTTTCACTTCCCTCTTTCATTGCTGTCTTTTCACAGGTATGAATATTTGCCCTTTGGATCTGATACAGTAGCGCAAAATGGACATAGAACATAATTGTATTATCATATTCGACATACCTGTTCTTTCTACATGAAAACTATGAGCAAGTCCCCTGGAGCCTCTATGGTAAGGCGGCAGTGGGCAGAGAGTAGATCTTCAGATGTCTGAGACTTCAACTTCCAGACATGGCTGCCAGTGCAGCCAATGGCCTGGGCTGCAAGATCACTGGGGAAAAGAAGTCGTGGTTACTTCTTTTTCTTGCCTTAATGCATGCCGGTATTTGCCTTATTACCCTTCTGAAGCAGAGGTTGCTGGACTGTCTGAACCCAATGAGATTTTTGGGGTAGCAGCAGCTTCCAACCTACCCCAGAACCCTACAATAAACCATGGCTTCTTTTCCCCAGTGATCACACAAATTTGGCCAATGAATTGGTCCAAAAATCTGGAGAGCTGCTTGCTGCTCACCTCTGCCCTAAAGTACCTTTTGCCAATCCTGGATCCCTAGTTGCTGTTGGCTTCAAACTCCCATCATTCCCACCATTACGGCTAATGGTCAGCGACAATGGAATTAGGACACCATAACACCTAGGGATCCAAGAATAGGAGAAGCTTCCTTAAAGAAAAGGGGCTGTCTGATCTAACTGACTTGAAAGTGCTCAGTAAAACCAGGAAAGTTATTCCTATGATCTATTATCATTTCAATCTGCCTATCATCATCATATCATCATCATAATTTTAACTTTGTTACCACCCAATAGCCAAAACTCCAGAGCTTGTGGTATCTGGGTAATTATGGCCAGGAGAGGCATTCCATCAGGTTTTACCTCCCCAAACTATGTCGGGCTTTATAGGATAAAACCACCACCTTAAACTGGGCGTTTGAGCAGGCCAACATTGGTGTTACATGCTCAGACTGTCTGGTTCCTGTTATTACTCTGGCTGCCACGTTTTGCACAAGCTGCAGCTTCTGAACAGTCATCAAGCGTAGTCCCATGTACTGTGTGTTGCAGCAATCTTGGTTAAGGATTACCAGAACATACATAAATTACTGATAGCAGGCTCTCTTTCCAGACAAAGGCACAGCTGGGCCAACAGCTGAAGCTGGTATAAGGCACTCCTGAGCCACTTGGGCCTCCAGAGAGCAGATGAATTAAAGAGCACCCAAACTTGCTCCTTTAAGGGAAGAGCAACCCCATCTCAAACAGACTGAATTCCCTCAATTTGGTTAGAAGAACCACCCACTAACAGTATCTCAGTCTTGTTTGGATTGAGCTTCGGTTTGTTAGCCCTCATCCAGTTCATTGTCACAGCCAGGCACATTCAGATTAGCACATCCACCTGCAGAAGATGTAAAGGAGAAATACAGCTGTGTGTCACCAGCATGCTGGTGACAATGTTCTCCAGAACACCGGAGGACCTTGCCCCACAGGTTGAATAGCATGGGGTACAAGACTGACTTCTGCGGAACCCCATACTGGAGAACCCAAGGGGCACAGCAATATCCCCCATACACCACTTTCTGGGGCCTGCCATCCAAGTGGAAGTAGAACCACTGCAGCGCAGTGCCCCTCACTCCCAGCTCAGACAGTTGTCCAGTACTTCAGGTTCAAACATCATGTTTATTACCTATCAGCCAGCTAACTGTAGTTTATTGAATAGGAGCAGAAGTGAGGAGTAAATGAATGCCATCATGATTTTCCATGATCTCTGAACTGACTCATTGCCTAGCTCACTTCTTGATGTTGCATTAATTGTAAAACCAATTGTCTTTCTGCTTCTACTCACTATTCTTGCCTTCCTACAAAAGCTACTGCAGACACTTATTTGTAAGTTTCTGCACTGAATTTTGGTTACCCCCCACATCAAATTTCATATTCCTGCTTGCTTATTTTGAGTTTTTTCATTCTATTAACTCTCTGATTCTCTCCCTTTAATAATAAACTCTGTGTTCATAGAAAGAGTCCAAAATGAAACCACTGAGAAAAAAATGAAGGCATCAACAGGAGAACCCCAAACTCTATAGAAATACCCACCCCCAATAATAATCCTCAGAGGCAGAAGCTTCCCCACAACCGATTGAAAAAACAGCCCAGTGAGGATCAAGCAGAATGCTGGGTATCCACTGGAAAAGAAAAAGAGGAAAACAAGACATGTGTGGGTGGGGTGAGTGAGTGGATCACTTGTTGGAGCCCCTTCTAATAGTTACATTATTCTGGAGAAAAGGCATGACTGGTTAGAACTCAGAAAGAGTCATCCCTTTTGGGGACATGAATTTATCCTCAAGCACTACATTTTCAGCAGAAGATAAACTACACATTATCCAAATTAAGATGAAATACAATGGCTCCAACCTGGACTTCCTGATTCCCAATCAGGTTGCACATTCCCAGTGCAAGCCCATCTGGAACTGCGCTAATAACTGTCCAGTTCTGCAGGTCGGTATCAAATGCATACATCACCTGGCTGGTCATGGTGCTCTTTATGCCTCTCCATTCTTTTTAAGAAGCGTAATCTCAACTGTGCCCCACCACGACTCTACCTTGTATTCCTGGGAGGCGTCATCCAGGGACACAACTGTGTGTGAGCGGTGTTCATGGGAGATCTCACACACTAAGCAAACAGCCTCCTGGTCCTCCTTGCAGAAGAGCCGAAGCACTTCGTTGTGCTTTTCGCACAAGTTCTCGTCCCGTACCTTGCGCTTGTTTGTGACCTGCAGCTGCTTGGCTATCTCTACCATGTTGCCCAGCTGCCGGTTGGGCTTCAGAGTGCGGTGGCGGAAAGTCTTGCGGCAGACAGGACAGGGGAAGTCCCGGTTTAGGTCCTCCCACCAGCGGGTGATGCATACCCGGCAAAAGTTGTGACCACAGTCAATGATCACAGGGTCTTTCAGGTATTCCAGGCAGACGGAGCAGCTGGCTTCCACCTGGAGGTTCTCCAGAGGGTTTGTGGTGGCCATGGCTCCTGAAAATCAGGGGGAAACATTGAAGTCAGAACCTTACAAAGCTCAAGTTTTAAAAAGTATTATTAAATGTAATGCATGATTCTTTTGGAAATATCAGTGCAACTTCCATATGGCTCCCAGTGGTTTTTCCAGCGAGGCAGCAATCAGATGCAAATCCCCTTAATGCAGGGTTAGTGGACCTGTGGCCTTCTAAATGTTGTCAGGCTTCAGTTTCCACTAGTTCTAACCAGCACGATCAAGGAGGACAGAAGCTGCAGCCCTACATCACCTAGAAGGGCTCTACCAGAAGCTCTGCAGTCGGGAGTTCAGAAGTAAAGGTGCAGAGGAGGAGCATACTTATCCTGAATTGTGTGACCCTGGCGCAAAGCACAGTCAATACAGCTGGCATGTTATATTCAAACTAAGTCAAAGCTATATTTGGATGCTATTTTATTGGGACACTTGCAAGTATTTTAAAAGATAAAAAATCATAAACCATATTAGAGTCTTTAAAAATAGAGAGAGAAGAAAAGATTAAGGTGCTGGCAACTGCTTATTTACCAAGGTTGCTGTCCTAAACATACATACATAAAATTTCAGGGCATAGCTTCACTCCTGTCTGTGCACACTCACTTGACAAAAGCTCTGCTGAACTTGGTAAGACCTACTCCTGAGTTAACAGGCACAGAAGAGCCCTATAAATGTAGCATGCTTGAAGAGCTATGCATTCATATTTATTGTAAATGAATACATGCTTCTAAGGAATAGTTGCCTCAAAAAAGTTAACAACAATAGTGGGATAGCCCAGTTTGACTGGTATTGTATCCGCTATTTAACTTGCCATTAAAAAAATGCATTTTCACTAACAGCAGCATAGAAAGCTGTCTTATGCAAAACCAAGGCACTTGTCCTTCTAGCTCACAACTGTCTACTCAGAGACGCTGTTTGTTGTTATGTTCTCTGACTTATCACAACTCTATGAATGAGTGTCTCCAACTGTCCTGTCCTTGACAGGTCTGCCCAGCTCTTGTAAATGAGGCACAGTTTAGAAAGCACTAATCTAATGAAAAGCAAGATTAACTTCTGGGGAAGTTAGTTCAGTTGAGCAGCTTAGGATGCAGCCCCATGCATATTTGGACACCAAAATGTCCTAGGTCCTTGTGGTGAATACTGGGAGGTGTAGAACTTTTTATGTCTAAATATGCAAAGGATTATGCTATTAGCCACTCTGAAATATTTCTTTCATTAATAGGCACAGGGGACAAACAACATGGAAAAGCTTCATGCCCTCCTTGTAAACTTTTAGTGGGGGCTTCCGTCTGATTGCTGCTCCTGGAAACATGAAAGAGGACAAAGAACTAGACAGATCCTTGTTCTGGCCCAAGAGGGGCCAGAGTCTTATGTTTTTAATTCCTTGCGCATGTAGTTTGCAGCTGTTGCCTCAAGATGACAACCCAACAATGATAGGGAAGTTCACTTAACCTAGTAATCCACTGTGCAAATAAGCTGCACATCTGTAGAACAAATCATGGTACACCCAACTGATGACAGCTTACTGTGGACTGTTCTCCACTCCTTCCTCCCTGCCAGTTCCCCAGTCATAATCCCAGAACCCTACTTGGCAGAACCCATCTTGTCACGCCATCCCTGCTCTGATCAGAAACCCTTTCTGTTGGGTCCACTTATTTTTCCTGGAGCCCCATGCCAATGACAGCTGCTCCACCACTTCTTAAGTAGCACTTTGGAATAACTGTCGGTTACTCCTAACACTGCCCCCCTTTTAGGTTTTGGGAAGCACAAATGTACACAAATCTCTTCATACTTTTTAAGGTTGTTGTTTTTGGAGTTGTGCAAATGAGTAGTTACAGCAGTCAAACATATATGTGGCCTTGCCTGGTCTATTACCTTATTCCTTATTGCTGTCAAATGATTGCAGAATAAAGAGGCAAGTTTGTGAACAGGTGCCAAGTTGCCAACTGGAATGCACTGGCCAACAGGAAAGAAACTATGAAAGTAAGTGTCTAAGTGGGGTGGCCTGTTGATCTTCCCTTTAGTAAGGTAATTCTGAGTTCGAAGTGTTGCACTGACATTTCTCACTGCCCTCCACTTTTGGGACATGTCCTGACTCTCCAAACAGTTCAGAAAGGGGGGATCATAAGGCTAACAACTTTTTGTGGTTCCTATTCACGGCACTTTCTGTGGTTCTATGACTGTTGATAAAAGTCCTGTGAAAGGAGCAGTTTGGGACTGAGTGAACGAGGCTACACTGGGGCAGGGGCACTCCTTCCCATTTTGCAATCTCTAAGTTTGTTTTTGTTTTCTTTTCTAAGCATTTAGGAAATTTTCACACTTTTTGAGGAAAATCTATGCTGCTCTCATGGCTGGGATATAAATGAAAGGGAAATTTGCAATAGATTCAGATGTACTCACGCTGTAGTCCTGATCTTTTAAAGGGGTTCGCATTAAAAATCCACACAAATGAAGGTGACAGCTGGGGAAGAGATCCTACCAACAAGCTCTGCAGGACATGTACATCATGCATGATTTGGGCAGCCAGCAGCTGAGAAGACAAGAGCAGGAAGGTGCTGCCATTAAACATGCCAATGAGGAAGCAAAGATTATCTCAAGATGATGCATGGGTCACCTCAGGGAACCTTTCAGAACCAGACAGGAAAAGTTAAATGGACCAAAACCCTAACTTCCCTCCCATGTCTTGCCCACTGCCCACGGGGAGAGGTTAGAATACATATTTGTGAATTAAGTTAATGTGAATTAAGTTAGGCAACCCAATGATCACTAGAACAGGACTCCATCTCCCATGTTTAAATCTAATAACCTATTCCTTAAATCACAGGTGGGCAGATTTTTTTTTTTAACTAGACCCCCCAAGATGCATTAACCAGAGCCAGGTACACTTAGCATTAAAGAACAGGGTGCCTCTCCGCTCATACTAAATCTAAGTATTTATTTCATTTCTATACTGCCCCACAGCTGAAGCTCTTTATTACCAGAATTGTACCAAAAATGAATTGAGCTCATGGTCCTTTCAGACAGTGTGTTCCTGGTCACCCCAAGCTTTCATTATTGTAGCAGCCTGATTTCAACAGGAAAAGTAATTTTGCTGCTGCTTCTGATAAACAATTGGGAGTCAGAAACCCTTATCAATCCACTGCAGACCATGCAATGATCTACCAGTAGATCCTGATCTACTTTCTGCCCACCCCTGACCTACATCATGGTGGCTCTCAGCCAATGAATAAAAAGTCACCATTTTAGCATTACAACAGTTTCAGGGCCGCCTATATCTGTGTTAAAGCACTGTGCAATCTCCACAGATTGTACTGCTGAAAGGATGACACAAGCTATCCAGTCCAGCCTCCTGCTCCAGATAACAATATCCAAAGCACTGTTATCCAATGGGAGGGTTTGCACAACACAGCAGCCTACCCTACAAATAAGTTATGCACTGCGGCTTGTTTAAGGAACCACCTACAGGGCACCCAACAATTGGACTCATCATAGGCTGTCCCACCTTCTCCCTCAGTCACCCTATTGGTGTCTCAGGAAATGACACCTGAATCCATCCTGTCTCCTCTCCCCATGCTGATTGTTTAATTAAATCAGGGTATTTTTCAAGTCTAGACAGGACAGCGTGGTTGAAAAGGAGTAGTGAGTAGATCTCTAATCTTTTGCAGTGGGATTCTTTGGTGTGATTTTCTAGTTTTTAAGTATTGGCTCAAAAGTTCTCAATGCTCACCACCTTTTCCACACTTCCCTGAGCCTGTACATACTCTATAAAGGTAAGATGTATGACACTAGCTGTTTTCATGAACACAGACTTTGGAAAGCTTCAAACATTTTTGTTTATGTAGGTTTTTGACAGGGCGTTTTGACAGATATGAGTCACATCCATGACATCTGTCTAAACAACCCTGTTCAGTCTTGCTTTGTCAATGTCCACAGATGTTGCCTCTTGACTTTGACAGCAGATACTTAACCAGGATATTGACCAGGCAAGACCTCCGCTAGTTGGAGGAGCACATTTGCACACCTTCATAAGGCTGACCAAATATTTTTAGATCTTACAAAAATATTTGTGCACATTTCTGGCATTTAAAAATAATAAATAAAAAGGTGGCAAACCAGTGACAGCTACTCCAATGTGCTACCTGAGCACTTTAGAGATACTGTCATTGGGAGAAGGTCTGAAAAGGAAAGGAAAAGAGAAAGTGGGAGCAGTGGCCATGATCAGGGTCGGAAGACTGAGCCAGTGGCAACTGCTTCACTGTGCTACATGGGCATCAGTGGAACAGCTGTCACTGGGGTGGCACAATCAAGTTTAACAAGAAGTTATAAACTGCTCTTGCTGTGGCGAGTGTTCAATACTTTCCTGGACCAGATAACCTGACAACCCGTCCTGGGTCTAACAATTGCCATGACTTGACAGGGTGTGTTGTTGCCCAAAACAAGTCACCCTTGGGGAAGCAGTTCAGTTTCTCATGACACACAATGATGGGCTGTTGTGTTGTAGAAACCCAGTTAATACTTCTTCAAAAATGTCTAGCAAAGGTGAATTCAGTTTTGACAGCATGGGTAACTTAACATTCTTTAACATGTACATCTAAACTGTGCATCAGCTTCACCATGAGCTAATGGGTTTCCAACTTTAGCAAGAAAAGCTGGATGAAGTATCAAGGTAAAAGAACTTGCCCAACAGGCTGAGTACTCCAACTTCTCATGGAATGTGGTGTGTTTTGAATGTTCTTTAAAACAAGGAGGGTGGGGACTGCGAGGCAAACAAGTTTGGCTATTGCTCCCCTCACCCCATACACTGCCCAATGCATTAGAGGTGGGCAAGAGGTGCTTTACGCTCTGTCTCAAGGGCATGTGCATTGACATAATCTGGATGAATGCTACAAAGCACTTTGAGGGAAAGGGTACCAATCTACCTACCCATTGCTTGAGCCATATGGAGCTGATCAATCATAAAGCACATTTTCTTCTCTGAGCAGAGCTTTGGATAACGAACATTTATCCACAGGGTATCTGGTGGGTAATCCAATGAAACATGAACAAAGTGGAAAGACAGATGTTGGTTTCTTCAAGCTCTGAAATCTCAGATACCTTGCAAACTGCTCACTTCTCCTTACACTTCGGCATTTGGTCTTTCCCTTGCCATACCAAAAAAGAAGAAAAGAGAGAAAATCAATGGAGTAAAACTACACGTACATTTAGCATTCAGAACACATCATATATATTATACAGTAATGCTTAAAATATCCTGTAAATTAGTATTGTTACTACCAAATTACCAGTGAGAAGCCAAGGCTAAGAACACGGACACAGCTAACGGAATTCATATATCATGCAAGATTTGAACTAAGGCTTAACCTCTGAGATGCTATGTTATATCACCTCTGCAGAATTCTCTGACCATTGGGGTATTTCTAGCCAATCAACTTATAGTGTTAAGGGGGTAGTCACTGCCCACTCATTGCACAGAATCACAACGTATTTACCCATGAAGTGCTTTAATTCTGGCAACATGGCCCTTTCCTAGCATACCAAATCATAACATATTATGGCTCAAAACATGCATTTCTTCCTTATGATGTAGGATAATTTTTTTCCAGTGCATTTTTCCATGGATTTTTTCCCATTTCATAGGTTCATTAATAAAAATGAATGTATGCAAATTACAAATACAACAGTCAACAGATACAAGCTTGACTGTTTCATAGTTTATGACTGAAGTTTTTCAGGTTAACTATACCTAGCAAGTATGCATAAGAATACATGTATGTCTCAAATAAAAGTGACTTAATAAATAGCGACCGTAAATCTGAAGGCCAACAACCATACTGGAAGAGCACTAAACTTTGTTGAAGTTAGGTTATCAACATATCATGCTGTTCTTTGTGTTGCCAAATTTAGTGTTAACAGTTTGCAGTATGTTTGCTTTTTTCTTAAATTTCAACAATGCAAAGGAAGTAAGTACGATTGTCTTTATATTTTTATTATTCCAATTAAATTTTGTATCATAAATGCAACAATTAAATCACATTAAGTGCTTTAATATGCCTCTCTCAAATATTTCAAGTCAAATACATACAGTGTATTGGGCCAAAAACTTAAACAAGGCATTTTTATTTTGCATCATTTACTAAATACAAATAAAATAAACTTGCTAAATTAAATCCATAGCATCAGTAAACTTTCCAGAAAATCCACCTCACTCTCTAGAAAGCTACATGGAATGCAGCTGGGTGTGCGCCATGGCTACTTTTTGGATAATGCCCACAACTTTGCTGATGTTGAATAATAAAATACTAACTCACTAGGTTGCTATCCTAAAATCAGTAGCTGGCTTACAAAGTTCACCTAAAACTAGCACTGGGGTACAGTGTGAAGCCACTCATCAATACCACATCTTCCCTTAAAGCTACTTCAATTCTATAGCTCATTGCTTTAAGAGTTTTTCTCTTGCCACACTCAGGGTGGCAGTCTGCAAGACTGATGAGGCAGTGGCTGAATGCAAATGTGGGAGGGGTGGCAGAGGGAGGAGAGCAGGGAAGGCTCTGGAGGATCTTCCCTTCATTGATATTCCACTTCCCAACCTTGACTTCTCCCACCAAATCTGTCTTGCTTCTTTGTAGGCAGCAGTGGTTGCTGTGCTAAACAGTGACTCCAGCAGGAAGGAAAATGCCACCAGCACAAAGATCTCTACACTCTGGAATTCTACCCTATTCTCACTTTTCGTCCTTTATTCTCTTCTTTAGATGTTTGTCAGAGAGAGTTCCCACCCTACCCCTTTTGCAGGCTGAACAGTTCTACTCTAGCATGCCAAAGCATATAAGATCCAGCTTTTTCTTAATATAAAACAAATGCAAGGCTATTCTGCCTCCAACAGAGTGACTTCAAACCCATTGTGTGAAGCCTGACTATTATGTTATGGCCTTCAAATCAGGACCATCTTCACAAAGGCTAAGACATTTTAAAACTGGCTGTTTACATAACAGTGAGGGAACAGGCTCTTTCTGGAGAGTGGATAACGTTATCATTATTAACACCACATTTAACAGGGCTTCTTCACACCATTCAAAGCACTTCACATGTACTCATCTCAATCATCTTTACAACAGCCTTACTCAGTCGGCCGGTATTATCCTCATGACAGCCAGGAAGAGGCTGAGCAAGAAGCTAGCCTGAGATCACCCAGTGGATTTATACTTGAGAAGAGACAAAAACGGGGGCTTCCCAGCTCACCCTCTTAGGAGACAACCACAGCAGTTCTACCAGATGAGAAAGTGAAGTGGGTGGTGAGGAGGGCTAAGACAGGCCTGAAGCGAACCTACAACGGGAAGAAGACGCTGAGGGGGTTCAAGAGGGAAAACTGCAGCAGCCACAACCACATCTACGCAGGCAGAAGAGGCATGATTTCTAACCGGCTGCCTGGGAACGAATCCCAAAAGGGTCGGGAAAGAGAGAGGAGGAGAGAGCAGCTTCTTGAGGCGTGGAGGGGATAACAAAGGCAGGTCTGCTGCAGACTGGGGAGGACCGGGGAGTGTTTTGAAGGGCTTGGAGGGGCAATTACGGCGGGCCCTGCAAAGCCCGCAACTCCTTGAGGAGGCGGCGGCGGCGGCAGGACCACCGCAACATGGCAAACACGACAGGCGCTCCTCCTCTCACACACTCACCTTCCTCCCTCCCACCCTTTGCCCCGATCCGTCCCCCCGGCGTCCGGGCGACGGTGTGAGGGAACCCACGCGCGGCCTGCTCCGGGTCCAGCCCCCCAGCCCCCACCGCCCTCGGCCAACGCCTCCCCCGGAAGCGGCTCTGGCGTCACCGGAAGCGGGCCTCCCACCATCGCAGAGACCATAGAGCTACAAGCGCCGCTACCTAACCTCTTCTGTTTCATAAATCCAAGATAGGGCAGCGTCGCTATTAGCCTTGGACTTGTACGGGTAGACTCACAGAAAGCGTCAACTTCCGGGCGCACTTGGCGTCTTTCAGGCTGTTTTGTTCCGAAATGCCGTACGTCTCGGTCTCCCCGGGACGGAAGCGAAAAGCGGCCGCGGACAACCGTGGATCGGTCCGCGCCTCCAGCGCCGCTGTGATTGGGCGGCCGCGTCTCCTCCCAGAAGCGGAAGAGAGCCGCGAAGCGCAGCATCGTGGACGTGTCAACGCGGAAAGGCGGCCTGTTGCATTCAGCGGGACTTACTCCCGGGAAAGTGGGGATGGGGTTTTCCAGGCAATGACTGGACTTCTTCATACACGTGTCTGCATATGCGTGCGCGCGTGCGTATATGCTTGTGCGTATCTGTATAGACATGTGGACGTATGCAGATATACTGTATATACATCTGCCGCAAGCTATTTAATGAGTTTCCTGGCTTTTTGTTAGTTGTTTAATCAGGTCCCAAGATTTAACATGCTGAAGGTATTGGAAGTTTAAAATGCGTTTTAAAGTTGGGTTTCAATTTTTTCTGGCAACCTTTTAATGATTTTGTGCGCTGTGGTAGGTTTTTATAATGTATTTTAAATGTGTTGTTTATCATTTAGAGAACTTCTGCTATTGGGCAGTATAGAAATTGAATAAATATGCCTGCTAATGTGTAAAGATTTGCTTATACAAATCAATGGTGCAATCAGACCTGGAATACTGTGTACAGTTTTGATCAACGTTCCTAAAAAATTGCAGAAAGGAGCTACTAAAACGATCAAGGAGCTGAAGCAACTTCTACATAGGAAAGGTTACCTCCTGGGTTATTCAGCCTAGAAAAGGGGTGAGGAGACATGACAGAGATCTACGGAGTTATGCAAGCTGTGGTGAAAGAGACTTGTCTCCTCGCTTCCATAACCCTGGAACCCAAAGGGGTTACTCCATGAAACTGATTGGTGGGAGATGCAGGCAGACCGAAGGAAGGACTTCTCCACACAACATGTAGTTCATGTAGCCACCAATCCGAATGGCTGTAAAAGGGTGTTGGCCTAATTCACAGAAGAGCTCTGCAGCTGCCAATCCTGAAGTCTATTAGTCACTCCAGTCTCAGAGGCAGAACACCATATAGGATCGTTGCTGGCGATGTGGGCAGGAGGGTGCTTGGCACTCATGTCCTAGGTGTGGATTTTCAGTGGGGGCTGCCGTGTGAACAGAACGCTGGACTAGAAGGACCGGTGTTCTGATCCAGCATATGTTTGCTCATATAATGTACATGCAATTGCCTCCATGTGCGTATGCACATAGCACCCACCCTGCTGAGCCAGCGTCACTTGCGACCTTTGGGCAGGAAAAAAAAATGCACCCTGTTTTTAGGCACAATCCTGGGAGGAAAAGGCTTTCAGTGGCTACTTGCTCTGACTGGTTATATGTTAGCTCCAAAGCAGGCAAGTAGCCAGTGTTGGAGTGCAGTGGCAGGAGAGGGTTATTGCCTGTATGTGCTTCTTGTTGACCACCTTGACAAATAAGATACTGGGCTTGATAGGCCTTTGGTCTGATTCAGCAGGACTGTTCTTTCCAATTGAGATCATATTTTATATATACAATGCATCTGTATACAAGTCAAGGCAGCACAAAACATTTGCCTGCAACCGTAGCACTAAATGTAGGTTAGGAGTTGGTCTGTGCTTGGAATTTAACTAGACTGACCTTGTCTGCATCACAGCTTTGCATCACAGTTTTTTCCCCAGAAAGCCAAGCCAGCCTTCAGTGTCCCATTTGTGGTATTAATGGTAGACTACATTGCAGGGCTATAGAAAGCCGTTATTGACCACAGTCTCCCTAACCTGCACAATAGGTAGAAAGAGCTGTAGTGGCATTAGCAGTGGTAAGACTAGTTTACAAATATTTAAAAATGATATAAATGAATCTGTTTCCTTCTGAAATACGAAATGAAGCACTCCCGTCAGTGGAGCAGGAGTCTTCCCTTGTACACATATGCACAATTTTGTCTGGGATACTTTATGAATGATGATTACTTTGGAGCACCTGAGGTCTATAAAAGGGACCCTGTGTTGGCTTGGGATGCGGGAAACTTGTCTGAATTCTTGCTTTGTATAGAACTCATTTACTTTACACAAGTCACCCTCTCGTAGTCCGTGCTCCTGCATGGGGTCATTCGGCAGTTCAAACGCCCATTGACTGGTGAGGGCAAGTGAGCACCAAACAGTGCAGCTGTGGTGTCTCAACAGCCCTGATGGCTTTTTAGCACCCTCAGGACAGAGAAGCCTGCAATCATGCATGTTTTCAACTATCCAAGACAGGAGGCAGTTTTCGTTTTTGCCTTTCTGTCCTCCTTATTCCCCTCCCTGTTTTCAATCTTTTAGATGGCGCTCTGAACCAATCTAGAGTGGTCATACTGGTAGAAACAGTCTGGGGCTGGAAAGGCCATAGAAAACTTTGTATCCTAGACTCTCCCTTCCTGCCCCACTCTTCCTACTGGAACGCCCTTTTGCTGTTCTCTCCATGACCTTCTGAGGCTTTTTTGGTAACCTCAAAAAGCTGGTGGGGTGGTTATTTGCGTGCTGGCCATGAAGAGATCAAATTTCAGAGTGCTACTTCCAAGGTTGTTGCAATGGCTGTGGGTGCACAGGAGGAACACTGAAGAATCCTATGGTCCCTTGGATGTTTTCCTGGGAAATTAGGATTAGCCCCTAAGGCAGTACATGAGGAAGAAGAAGAAGAAGAAGAAGAAGAAGAAGAAGAAGAAGAAGAAGAAGAACTCATGTAAACCTTCCACAAAATGGCCCATATGAATTGCTCAGTCATTTCCCTTAATTTTCAGCCTTTGATCTTCAGTCCCACCTACTCAAACCATCCATCTGAAATAAGTAGAATGTTCTGCTCTTGGAGAGTACTGGAAGGCATTGTTCTTGTTTTAACATATTTCACCAGATTGGGCAATGCATGATTTATAAAACTGATGTGAGACGTGTTGCCAAGGGTGGGGCAGAAAGAACATTCAGGTGAAGCAGGCAAGTCAGAGAGGTAAAAAGAGCCTTGCTGGATGAGACCATCTCCCACTTTGGCCATCCAGGGAAGCCCCATAAGTAGGACATGACAGCAATAGCACCCCCATCTTTTTGTCCCCCACTTCCACCCAGGAATGTAGTGACATGTAGACCGAACATACAGGTTCAGTTTAGAAGTCAAGGCTAATGACTGCCAATAAACTTTATTTCCCTGTATTTGTTTAATTCCCTATTTTAAACCATCTGAATGAATTGCTGCATCTTGTAGTAGTGAATTCTTGCAGTAGCACAAGACAGAGGATTGTGCCTGTGTGAGTGTATTTTGTGTTTCAATTAGCACTATATTCACTCACTGTTACAATGCATGGATGGAATGCAATTTCCTCTAAAAGTGAAGGCCTCAGACTTCAAGAAGACCCTTGTGGCCTTGCTCCTGAATTTCAGATTTATTGGCGTCGGCAGTGCCTGCTTGTTATTGAGGTGTACACACTCTGAACATGCTCAGGCTTTACCTCCTCTTGGCCCCAGGTGCCAGTTGTTCCACATAACACCAACAGCCAAGAATTCTATCCGCTACATCCAATATTTTTACCCATGTATTTCATCATATGCCATGAATGTAATACACAAAGCATTTCAACTTCCTTGGGCATTAAGAGATCTCAGAGGGGTCATTCTCAAGGAAACCAAGTGCAGGGGCTGCACGGATAGATTGTGTTGTGTGAAGACCTATAGAAAATGTGTGAAGAATGATTTATGGCTTCTTCTCCCCTTAAGGAGCTGGTTCTCAGTTTGAGCATCGTGGTTTTTCTTTTATTTTAGGTGCCTGTCTCCTTTAAAAAATGTGAATTATTCAGATTAAGTATTCCATAAGCACTGGGAATATCTACACTAGGCATTTTTAGTTACTGGTCACACAACTATCCTGCCTTTCTTCCATTATGTAATTCCAGGGTCCTCATGCTAACTCTCCTGTCCAAGCCCAGGGCTGCTTATCCTCAAAAGTCAAAATGTACATGGGGACCTTTCTTGATCTGTGTCCAAAAAAAGGGACAAAAGGGAACACAGGAATGCACAAAAACTGCATATGCTAATTTATACATATAGATGGAAATTTAGAAATAAGTGCTGTGATTAAATAGAAATACAATAAGCCGATCAACAGAACCATATTTTAACAGTGTCATCATTCAGGAACCATCTACATGTGTGAGTTGATGGACTTATGGGCCCCTTCCAATTCTACTATTCTATGCGCTTCAGCAACCAATGTTGTGTTATAGATTCACTCCAGTAAGGACTATGGGAATAAAGTAGTGTTTGGTTCTTCTGTCCTCATGTGCAGCGCTCTGGGTAGTCATCTGGTGGGTTTCCTGGGCTGCAGGTCCCAGCCTTTGGCCCTAAGGATGGGGTCCAGCTGTACCATTGCCCCCACTCAACATAAATGGGCTTTCTTTGGGGAGGAGGACTGAGGGGTGAGTGGGGGGGTGGGGGCAGCAGGCCGTTGCAGCTGTAAGAAAAGGAGGCAGAACTCTGTTAGGTTCCACATGCTGTGTGAGGAGAGCGTACCATGCCTAGAAATTTCAGGATCAGGGAAAGGGATATTTAAACATTTCAGCTGACATTTAAAGTGGCCGGCACTGACCACTTTGCCCACCAGGTGTGTGCTCTCTCTCCCTCT